ATGAAAGCATTAACCAAAAAAGAAACCACTACTGTTAGAAGAAAATGATAAGGCTTTTTGAAAAAGCCTGGTATTTCAGGATACAAAAATGCCATGCAAAGAGACCCTACTAAAAGCAAAATCTATCAAGCTACTTAGGCTACTCTAAAATCATCAGCTACCCAGTCCTGAGCAAAAGCCCTTTCTCACCCATATCACTATTACTTTCATGAAATTGGATGATTTTTGTTCCAAGGCCAAAGATTGTGAAACATCCTTCAGACTGAAGCTCCACCTTTACAAAACAATTTGGCTTTCAAAAGCTTGACAGTAATACTGGAGTTCACACTTAACTCTACTTCTGTTCATATCTTGCTAAAATATAAAGTTGAGAGAAAATAATTTAGAGTAAAGCATTATCTTTTCCCGTATCTCTTGTACTAAACTCATTATTCTGCAATAAATATTGTGTTTTAAGTGTATTAAAACAGTAACATTGTATTAACTTATCTGTTTCTCCAGTGATAATTTTGGGATAGAGAACGTATCTTTCCAAGCCATTTAACAATGGTTGTAACCAACTGCTGCTCATTCCCAACAACTGGAAGGCATCTTCCCTTCAAGCACTGCAAATAGCATTTCTTCCATATTTCATTAATGGGCATCTTCCAAACACGATATTGCTATAGCAACACCTGCCATAATACCAAGGTTTTTGTTCTAAGATAAAAGCAAAACCTACTCCTAAATACACAGTAAAGCAACCACATAAAGTTGTGTTAAGACCTAATTTCAGCCAAGAAATTTAAACAATTCAAGATAAGCTACACGTTGCTAAGAAATCACTAGACAATCAGTTATTTTTGTGTAAAGAAACTTTTAAAAATTTCATAGCATCCTAAATATGGTAAGAAGTACTCCACAATGGATAATTAATCCATTTTGACAGTATCATCAAGCCTGACAAACAAGGAAAAAAATTCCCGTAAGTACACACAATTTTATATTTTAAAAAAGTAGTATCATAGCAGAAGGACCAGAAAGGATCATACTGTTCTTTTTTTCCCCATCTTTCATGAATTGTTAAATAAATATTTTATAAGGTTTTGGCAAAACGAAATCTGAAGAACTCAAAAAACAGTGTACTATTCCAATAGCTTTGAGAACTCCTGCAAACAATTAACCCAGTTCCTGCATCCACGTAGCTGGAATTTTTAACTGCTTTCATTTCCCACAATGTTTACTTCTGATTGTTGTGCTTGAGACATTATTAATTGTATTTGCTGATTAAGTTATTTTTAATCTCCAGTTCTAACAATGAAAACATATAGAACAAAAAAAAATGTAATTCCAACAATAACATAACAACATATGCTATTTGCAAATTCAAGTAACAAAAAGTTTCTTAATACAGCCCAGCACCAACACTTCCTGGGTTTTCAATGTATGCAGAACTGTGTATGTGTGAGTATGTATAGGATATAAAAAAAAGTAGACACAGACACAGTATTTAACCTGAAAAGTGAGCACCTAATTATGTCCCACTCCTAGGAAACAGTGTATTTGCACTGAAATTATGTTAGCAGTGTCTGTTTAGAGTCTACTTGAAGACAGGAAAAAAGCATCCCCAAGAGTTAGTGATAAGACAAGAGTTATCAAATAATAGCAAGCATTTCCTCCTTCCTATAACATCAGATTGTAATTAGTAAAGATCCACACTAGAAAGAGAAGTTAAGATCTTGTAACCGTAAGTTCACACTTGTCTCATTACAAGTCCTGCTGAGCTGCAGGCAGCCAGCCTCTAACAACAGATGCACCATCAGGCAATTGATTTTTTTTTTTTTGTTACAGTCTGGATGAAAGATAACAGTTGTTCCATGAGTGGCAGCAGCCATATTGAAACACTGTGCTGACCAAGAAACAAATTCTCCAAGTAAATGAACTAGTACAAAAGGTTTGTGGGTTTACAGGCAGCTGAATGCAGAAACGTCATTCTGAAGAAGGCAAGGAATTTTCCCTTATTGGGATTCAATCCCTCAGATTTTTTCCTAAGAGAAACTTAAGCCATCACATTGAAAACTTCAGAACGACAGACAACTGTGCCAAGGTCCCAGAATTTCAGTCTCTCTTCCCTGAGCTTGAAACAAATTCCCTGTGAAAGGGAATCTTCCCCTCATGCCTTCTGAGGTCATCAGGATACATAAAGTCCTTCACAAAAGACCCTGTTCATGCCAGCAGTCCCCAGAAGTCTTTTTTTTTTTTTCTGGATATGTGGTAGAGAAAGGTGGTCTGGGCCTGTTCTTGACTGATGGCAGAAAAATGAATATTAAGAAAGAGGTGTGCTGTCTTTGGCAACAGGGAAAAACTCAGAAAAAATTGTACTATTTCCCTTTTCTTTCAAAGATGTTATTTCTTCAATCTACAGCAACCCTTCATGCCTTTGTCCAACCAATAAAGAAGTTCTAGAAGTTGTAAGTAGCCATCTCAAGAGATCTTTTAATCTGAAAAGACACATGCTGTCAGACTCTGCTGTAACATCTACTTTCTGGCTCCAAACCACTTTGGCTAGTGTAGTTATTTTTGTTGTTTTTTGTTTTTTCAACTGAACTTCTCTTTGCAGCTTGCTATACTCCTCAAGACTAAACATTCAGTAAGAGAGAAGGCAGACATTTTGTCTTACATAAAACATGCAAGTAGAAGTTTATGGGCTATTTCTGCATGTTACATGGAAAACAACCAATTCCTATATTCTGCACACAGACAGTCAATCAGTTAGAAAGGATTTGCATCTCCTCTGACAAGTGTTTGGGATCCACACACTGAAATTGCTAGAACAGTCTGGATAATACAAGGCTCCCCTAAGTTGCAACTTCGTAGACCACTTACCAATTTACCTTATTAACCACTTCTATTCTGTCCATTCTTTCCTGAAAATTCTAAAATATCCGTTCAGGTTACGCAAAGACTTCTTTATGAATCCTATGGTCAATAACTTAAGACAAAAGGTTGCTTGGAGTGATGTTTACCAGTACAAAATCTCCCACTATCTCAAATAATATCAGTGTGAAAGCTGTCTTGTTACTCTTCCATGCTGAATGAGGCGTATTTCTATGCCAACTCTAAAAAGCTCTCTTAGTCTAGAAATCAACAGTGGTGAAAAAAATATGTAAACAACTAGTGCTTTTTAGGCTGTGATTCATAAGAAACAGGAATTTTTCTTTCGTCTAAGAAAGAAATACACTGTAGAGCTAGTAAGCCTATTTGTTCATTTTTAAAGACTAAAAAACCCCAAGAAAACCAACCTTTTTGCTATAAAAATATTATTAATATAAGGGTGCATTCTTTTTAACAATAAAGACCCCTTACAGCACAATTTCAGATAACCCCATTGCATTTACTAGCTATTTGCCTGAGAAGTGGGAGAGCTTTTCCTCCTTCTCAGCTGCTCACTTTGAAGGCTCCTCCCTTTCTAGAAACTATTTCAAAGCAAAATTTGTTTGCCTTCAGCTCTCTAGATTACAACTCTATCCTCCCGTGACAATTGCTCTTAAAGTTAACGCCAAGTCCTGCACTCATTAACGCCAACTGAAGAAACAGCTTGGATGTACTTGGCCAATAGAGTCCTAAGCGCGGGCAGCCTTTAAGATGTCTGCATGAGCCAACCCCAGAAGGAAAAGCACAATGTGGACAAAGCGAACACTTCTGGGAGATGCATGCAGAACAGATCTTGCAGTGAAACCCTCTCAGGAGCACTCACAGAAGCCACATAAAACACGGGCTTGTGAGCTCAGTGCTGCACCACACCTGATCACTTGATGTATACTCTTACAAATTGAGAGATGTTTCCAGAATCCTCATCATACTCCAATAAACATGTAAATGTGTCATCCAAAAAGAAAAAAAAAAAGAGCCATTACAGGACCAAGTTTAAGACTGATGGCAAGCCAGAAAAGCAGAATGCCTCAATATGACTGCCATGTTGCTTGACCAGTGCTTTACCCTTTAATACAGTGCTGCCCATTCTCTTTTCCCCTTTACTGATTTGTGAGGACTCCTGTTTTGTAAGTACTGTGCTAAAACCCCCTATGATTCCACCCGATGAATCTGGCACAAAGCACGTCTAAACGGGTCAATGAAGCCTTTCCAGTTACCAGCCTTTTTGAAGACTAAGATCTGTGCAAGAATCAGGAAAGGAAAAAAAAGAAAAAAGAAAAAAAAAAAAAAAAGAGAGAGAAAGGTTAAACAGCTCCCCCCCCCAACGGTAAGTGTGATATAATCACTAGTCATTCAAGGAAAAACAAACAAAACAGCCATTTTATGTGAAAACAGTTTTCTTGGCCTATACAGGACTCTTGTGCTCAAGCCTTATGACTGGAATTTGTACCTCATTTCAACACACACAATTTTAAGCAGTATCAGTTAAAACCGAGATATGACTAGTACAAAACATTAAGAAGCTGTAAAATTTCTGAAGCATTTGCTGATATGTCATAATGTCTATGATACAAAAACTGTACCAATGACAGCAAGGCTGAAGATAAAAAAAGGTCTGACTCAAGCGTTACCAGTCCCTTGCAGCTAAAATTTCAAACTACTACAGAACTCTGAAGTTGAACGTAAAATACAAGTAGCATCATACTTAAAGCTAAGAGTACTGACAACAAGGATACTGTATTGTCAGACACATAAACTGCCTTCCATACCCCTGAGTGGCATGAGAACTTCAATTTCTGCGCTTTAACTGTTACAGTAAAAACTTCAAGCACCACGCATTTCTAAACAAATTCATGTTTAGCCTGGCAAGCTTAAGACTCAAATTGTCTAACACCTTGACAGATGCCGCAAACAAACACGGAAATATGCAAATATTCATAATTTTCCAGCTGTGTTACAGTAATAACCAAGCTGACTCTGGAAATATTTCAGTTACATTTCAGTAATGCAGTCCCATTTAGTAACAAAAGCTTTTTGTTACTAAAATTAATTGCCTTTAGTATTTAAATAACTAAACATGGTATTACCTTCATGGCATGGATTTCTTCTATTAATCTCTCAACTCGTTTTTGGTTCTTTAATTTCAAGTCTTCTGAACCCCTGCAAATGAAGTTTGTCTTTATTAAAAAAACCTGGGTATTGTTCACTTTATTTGCCCGTGGGCTAACACTAAGTAGCAAAATAAAAATATCACAAGAGTGAGCATAAACACATTCCCTTGTTGTTAAATGAACATTTTAGCAGAGTTGAACATAATTTAATGTTTCTGCTGTTCTGAACAGAGGAAAAAACACTGAGGATTTACCAGAATAAGAAGACAGACAAATGTTACTTTATTAGAAAACAGTAACTACAATTCCTATCAACAATACATAGGAGACACTGATACCTCAAATATAATTACATTTCAAGATCTGTAATATTTAAATATAAAAGATCATTGGGCTTGCTTCTTATTTTGCACAATTTCCTAAAATTGTGGGAGAAGAGTATGCTCAATTTACACTTTGAACACAGCAATGGATGTACCTTATATCGTCTCCAATAAGACACGTCCTAACTTACTTTCAGACAGTTATCTTTAAAAACATAGATTCATAGAATAGTTTGGGTTGGAAGGGACCTCTAAAGGCCATCTAGTCCAACCCCTCTGCCATGGGCAGGGACATCTTCAACTAGATCACGTTGCTCAGAGCCCCGTCCAACATCACCTTGAATGTTTCCAGGGATGGGGCATCTAACCTCCCTCTGGGCAACCTGTGCCAGTGTTCTACCACCCTCAGCGTAAAAAATTTCTTCCTTCTATCTAGTCTAAATCTACCTCCCTTTAATTTAAAGCCATTCCCCCTTGTCCTGTTGCAACAGGCCCTACTAAAAAGTTTGCCACCATCTTTTTTATAAGCCCCTCTTAAGTACTGATAGGCTGCAATAAGGTCTCCCTGAATGAAGCCTTCTCTTCTCCTGGCCAACCCCAACTGCCTCAGTCTGTCCTCATAGGAGAGGTGTTCCATCCCCCTGATCATTTTCGTGGCCCTCTTCTGGACTCGCTCCAACAGGTCCATGTCTTTCTTGAGCTGAGGGCTCCAGAGCTGGACGCAGTACTCCAGGTGAGGTCTCACCAGAGCAGAGTAGAGGGGCAGAATCCCCTCACTCGACTCGCTGGCCACGCTTCTTTTGATGCAGCCCAGGATACAATTGGCCTCCTGGGCTGTGAGCGCACATTGCTGGCTCATGTCCAGCTTTTCATCCACCAGTACCCCCAAGTCCTTCTCCACATGGGCTGCTCTCCATCCCTTCCTCCCCCAGCCTGTATTGATACTGGGGGTTGCCCTGACCCAGGTGCAGGACCTTGCACTTGGCCTTGTTGAACCTCATGAGGTTCACAGGTGCCCACTTCTCGAGCTTGTCCATGTGCCTCTGGATGGCATCCCGTCCCTCTGGCATGTTGACCGCACCACTCAGCTTGGTGTCATCTGCAAACTTGCTGAGGGTGCACCCGATCCCACTGTCTATGTCATTGATGAAGATATTAAACAGTACCGGTCCCAATACGGACCCCTGCGAGACACCACTCGTCACCAATCTCCACCTGGACATTGAGCCGTTGACCACTACCCTCTGGATGCGACCATCTAACCAATTCCTCACCCACCGGACAGTCCACCCATCAAATCCATATCTCTCCAGTTTAGAGAGAAGGATGTTGTGGGGGACCATGTCAAAGGCCTTACAGAAGTCCAGACAGACGACATCTGTAGCCCTTCCTGTGTCTGCTGATATAGTCACTCCATCAATGTACATAATCTAATCTATAAATATGTTGTTTTAACTATTTACTTAAATACTACTTAATACTAATTATTAAAAATCAAGTATGACCTGTATATTTATGCAAACCGAACAATATTTTTTGCTATAGAACCTTGCAGGCAACTACAGTGAGAAAATGTTGCACAACTTATGTTCAAGAGCAGAATAACCTAAAATATCAAGTGTGACACTTTTAAAAGTGCTGTAAAAGGTTCTGCAAGCGATTGGGATTAGCTTCCAATACACTAAATCCCTTTAAACAAAAAATGTTATCCCAATTCTGCTTTATGAAACTGCTTTTTAGTTAGTATTTTTAGTCTATCTACAGGGATGTAAAAATAATACCCACAGAATTTATGCATCATAGTGCCTTAAGTTTTAAATGTAATACATTTCTCCCACTTCTCTGTTTTTGGGAGAACAATTAAGATAGTGTCTCATTTATAAACAGACAAACAAGAATACTGATACTTAAAACTGACTTTTTCAACTTTAATTTCCCGATGTGTCTGGTTAGTCTGCGAATAGTCAGGACTCTCGCCTTCTTCACATCTTTTCTCATCTTCACAACCTGTCAGAAAGATGGAAGACATTATAAAGCTTGTTTTCCTTGATTAGTTTCCATATACAATACATTCACTACATTGACTTAAATTTTAGAAATTAGTTCAACAAAAAGAACTATTTTTTAAAACGGAGTGCATTCCCCTGCTAACCAAATTCCAGTTCAAATGAATTCATATTTCATTCAAAATCAAACTGCTTCCATAAACATCAGAGGAAGAACAACCAACAGTCTAAAAATGTGTCTGAGGTCTAAACAGAAGACAAGACATTCCTAACTAGCCATACGTTAATATTATTCTTAGAGCTAGACTGAGCTAGAGATTTGAAAAGACTCACCTTTTGCCTTCACTTTGTTTATTTTTGTCCCAGTGAAACAGCACCAGTACTTTTCCATTAGTACATAATACGTAAAAGCATTTTCGTTATGAAATGTTTTGAAAGATTAAGGAAAGACTCCCAAACTAAACATTATTTCTTATAGAATAGAATTTGAGATATGAAAACCTTTTTATGTATTTGAATTGATTTTTGTTGAAAATAAAATCAAAGTGATTTCCAACTCACTATAGTCTCTTTCTACTCCCTATCCTACCCAGTACTCTGTTCCCAAAATGTATTTCAAAGTAGAGAGTAGTAAACCTGACAATGATGTGTTGATCTTATTTCTTGCCCCAAAATGGAAGAAACAGAGTTCTAATTATTGTTAGACAGATGGTACAGACAGACAGATCTTTGGAATCTTTTGCTATTAAATTGCATCATGGGAAACCTTAGGCCTAGGCATTATCTTGTCAATGATGCACATTTCAGAAATACAGGAAGTCAACAGTGACTTACAACCTTGCTTTTTTTACAGCTCAAAAAAACCCCTTATTTATTCAGATCTATCTTACTATCACTATTAAGATTTTGTATTTAACAGTTAAGCTTAGAAAATATGAAATATTAAAACAAACAAAAAACCCCAGTCTTCCTGACAAAAAGCCGAATTTCTCTTAAATTTATCCAATGGGATAAGTTTCAAAATAAGTTGGCACCTCTTCGTTAAGGAAGTTCTTTACGTCAGCTTTCTATTTTATCTTCTAATTTCTCAGAGGTAACATCAAAATGATTGCTTGATGGCGATTGCACCATCAAGTCAGTTCCACCAGGAATATTAGTATTATAAACCTGCATCAAGCTTGACCAAAAAAAGAGAAAAAATAAAACTTCAAAGCTCACAGAGAAACATTTCACACCTATGATGGGAAGCCGGGCTAGTATATATCCCCTGCGCAGAGACCATAAAGGTGAGACTATATCATTTATTTAAAAAAAACCCAAACAAACCACCACCACCACATATTTTGCATACCTGATTATGTTTGTAGCTAGGTTACCGACACAAGCAAGTGGTTAAGCCTTGAACCGTACTCAGCAGTGGCTCTACTGAAGGCTGAATCAGGCAGAGCAAAACAATTTCTAGAGAGGGGCACATGCTGATTGCCAGGCAGAGGAGAAGTGTGTGGAGCAGCATTCCCCCAAAAAGTAGGGGAGGGGAATTGCACTGGGGCAGCGTTACTGGCACTTGCATAGGGAGAAGGGAAAAGGCAAAGAAGGTTTTTGGGACAAGAATGACAGGCTTAAAATTGGTCTCCTGGTCTAAAATTTGTACAGCAAAGGTCAGTACTTAGCTCAGTTACCCTAGTGAGAATAAGTGAACACAGGTCTACCTACAAGCATTTCTACTTCAGTTCAGAGCAGAACTCACGTGCCAAAAAGCACCTGTGCCAAGTCTCTGCTAGACAGCAGCACTGCTCAAGTCCCCATGTGCTTAGGAAGAAATCCTTAATGTTACCATTTGCCATCCAAGCATGTAAACATTTCTTTTATTAAGATACTGAATGGAATTATTACAGCTCCCTATATTACATTGTCTTCTAAATGGAAGAAAACAAAGCATCTTCTGGCTGAATACCTCATAGATAGTATGTACGTTCAAAGTGTTTGGCACTTCAGATTCAAACTGGATATGTCTTCTCAGAAAGTTTGGGGAGGAGGTGTTTGTTTTGTTTTGTTTTTTGTTTTAAATACCCATTAAAAACATCCACAAGCTACAAACATATTTGAATTTAAATAACTCAAACTTTACATATTAGTTACTGTGTATCCAAACACTAAGTATATTTAACTTTCTCTCAAAAAATATTTTGTAATATGTTTTTAAATAGAAATATTAATGCAGACACAGCATGTTTCCTGGGCCTACAAGAGCCAAAACCCAGCCTCCCTTGCTGCCAGCCAATGAAGGCTATAT